GATCAGAGTGAATCTTCCCCCAGGGATTCAGAGTCTGGAAGGGCCTAGGAATGGTAGTCATTTGGAGACCAGGAGAAAAGTTGACTGCAAATGAGGTCAACACTTGATGGCAAGCAGAGTAAAAGGACCTCCATCTGTGATGGTGCTGTTAAAGGAATTTGCCTTAAGCCAGGCTAGAGCCAGACCAATTCTGGCTCTGCCTTTTGAATTCTGCTCAAGGTTCAGATTTCTGTGACCTACAAGTCCAGCCTACATCCATACCTGGCTCCTGTGACTTAGAATGCTCCCCTCCTTCTGGGCCATGTGACGGTGACCCCGCAGAAACTGTCTTTACAATGTGTCCTCCATGGTTTCCACACCTGCTTCCCCCCAACTAGCCTCAGGGCAGGGTCATATCTTGTTCAAGTTCACGCCCCTGAGGTAATAGCTGAATTACTTATCAACTCTTGCTCAAGTGATTCTTCGATTGGATGAACAAATGAATTATAAAAAAAGACTCAATATCAAGAGACAGGAAGATACGGAAGAAAGAAAAAAATTGGTTAAATATATGCTTAAATGAATGAAAAATTAAATGTATCATCTTCAGCATTGGCCAAGTACATTTTCAAAATGTCATTATTTTAATTATGGAAATGGCCTCTCAAAAAGTAAAAAAAAAAAAAAAAAAAAAAAAGACGTGTCCTTGCTCCCAGATGGAATAGCTCACTTAGTTGTGTTACATCAGAATAATTTCACAAAATCTGGTATTCAAAGTGTATTAGGTCAGATTGGATGATTTTTTTCATAATTATTTTAAATGTTCATCTATAATTTTTTTTTCAAACCCAAACAGTCCATGGCATTTAATGAGCAGGCTCCAAGGCTCAGGACCAGGATGGCTGCCAGCTTCAATGGGATACTGGGTCATTGCTAGATGTCTACAGAAGACATCCAGAGCAAGCCATCGTTACCATGGTAACCAGCACAGGCAAGAAAAGGGCCGTTGTCACGTATAAGATGAGGATTATGTACTGGAAGCACTGACAAACCACTAAGGACATAATAAGAGGCCTTCTTGGTTACAGGGACTGCCCACCATCCACAGCTGAAAACTGAGCTGTCAAAACACGCAGGAAGGAAGTGTGCATTCATTATTCCAGCAGCCCTGGTCATGGACTAAGGAGAAAACGAGATCCTCACAATCTCCTGCTATTTTCTAACTCTGCGCATGTCTAGACGTGTAACACATAGGGACCAGAACTGACACCTATTCAAATATTCAGCACAAGCAATATGGAGTTCAGTGGGGTTGCACACTCAATGCATAGTCTGTCTGTTTGGTTTGGAATGAGAGGCCGATAAGATGGCCCATCATTTAAAAGGACCTGTTGTCAAGCCTGATGACCCGTGTTTGGTCCCTGGGACTCACATAGGAGAACACGAATGCCTGTAAGCCGTATCTTAACCTCCACATGTATGCCATGGCATATACCCTGGCCCCCAAAATAAATAAAATAAACAAATAAAACTCTAGGGGCAGCGGAATAATGCTCAGTTGGTAAAATGTTTGCCAGGCCAGCATGAAGACCCGGAACCCATATAAAAGCCTGTGTGGTGGCATATGCTTGTGAGCCTAGCATAGGGAAGGTGGTAAGGCTCACTGAGGCTCACTGGCCAGTCAGTCTAGCTTACTTGGTAAGCTCCGGGCTAGTGAGAGACTGTCTCAAAAAAAAAATAATAATAAAAATAAACACTTGAACAAAAAACAAAGTTCAAGCTGGATCAGAGATGTTAATTTAAAAATTCAAACACTGACACTCTGGAAGGAGAACACTGCAGAACATGGATTTGGCAACAAATTTCTGAATGGAAACCTACTAGCACAGGCAACCACTCCGAAACTGATAAAGGGACTGACTACAGAAAAGAAAAACAAAAGCATCTTCATGGCAACCACTGCCCGAACACAACCATCAACCAAAACGTCAACAGAGTCAAGTAGACAGAATAGTCCATTCCAGCAACGTCTTGGACAAGGGCCAATATCCAGAATACATAAAGGGCTGCAAAATTCAAACACTAGAGAAACAAAGTTGCCAATCAATAAATTGGGACAATGATAAGAAGAGATAGTGTTCAAACAGAAGAAATGCAAACGGCCAATCAAAATTTTAAATTGTGTTCAAAAATCTCTATCCATTAGGGAAATATAATTAAAAACTAGTTTGATAGGAGAGATGGCTCAGCAGTTAAGAGCATTTGCTTCCCTTACAGCATCTACATGGTAGCTCACAAACCGCCTGTCACTCCAGTTCCAGGGGACCTGGTATCCTTTTCTGGCCTTGGCAGGCGTCTGCATGCATGTGATGCTTATACACACACCCATGGCACACCTACATGTGAAATAATACTAATAAATCTCTAAAAATTACTTGAGATTCCATGCCACCCAAGTGAGAAGGGCAAACATCAAGAAAACAAAGTAACAACAGATGCTGACAAGGATCTTGGAGGAAAGGAAGTCTTACACACGGTTGCAGGAAATGCAAGTGTACCCGCTGTGGAAATCGGGGTGGAGGCTTTCCCTGCTCCTCTCGCCCAAAAGAATTACAATATAACCCAGGTATACTGCCCCTGGGTGTTCACAAAAGAAGCTACATCCTATCAGAGAATCTTGCGCATTCATGGTCATTATTGCTCTTTTCATAATAGCAACAAGGCAATGACACAACCATAGATGCCTATCAACAGAAAAGCAGATAATGAACATGTAGAACACACACACACACACACACACACACACACACACACACACACACGGAATTTTATTCAACTCTAGAGAAAATGGAATGCTCAAAGTTGTAGGTAAGTGGAGAGAACTGGAAAACACACTTTTAAAGCAAGATAAACCACACTCAGAAAGACAAACTGAATTTTTCTCCCTTGTTTGTAGATCCGAGCCTCTGTTCTAACAATGTTGTGACTATCCAGGTGGGAGAGGATGTAGGTATAGACTGGGAAACTAGAAAGGGATGAGTGAAAATGCAATACAAAGAGGCTTTTAGTGAGGACAAATAGCGCAGAGTAGAAGTGGGGGAAGAGAACAGCGGGGAGAAAGGCAGGGAGGCAGGACAGTAAGGAAGAAGAGGAGTCAATCAATCTGAACTACGTGTGAATGCCGCCTGGCAACCTATTGGAAGCTAATTCTTTGGAATAGAAAATGTCATATAATCACATATTTTCTATGTTTTATCCATCGACAATACTTTTTTTGAAATTATAATCTAATTATTTTCCCTTTCCTTGTAAGCTAATTTCAACAATTATGAATTAATTTTAAAAACCATGGTGGATGGTGTCTTCTGGCTTCCACATACATGTGCATGTACACGTACACTACACACACACACACACACACACACACACACACACACACACACACAGAGCTGCAGACACATGGACATGCACATAGCCATAAAACTCTGTAGCCAGTGAAACAAAAACAAAAATAAACAGGGTCGTACTGAACTCGAAAGGCTTTGCAGAGCAAAGGAAAAGATAAAGGGAGTGAAAAGGCTGTCTCTGGAGAGGGCGAGAGCTCACCAGCAGTACAACTGACAAGGAGCTAATTTCCACAGCTAGTAAGCAACTCAGTAGCCAACCCAGATTGCCAAAGCAGGAAACTGACGGGCCCATTTAAAAATGGGTTCAGGATTTGAATAGACATCTCTCCAAAAATGTACACATAGCTGACAGTTACATCAAATCCCTCCAACATCACTAATCATCACAGGGATGCAAATCACCTCCTCAGTGAGAGATACCCTCACAGCTATTAGCATGGCTGCTATTCCAAAGACCAAAGGCAGGAAGTGTTAGTGTGGTGAAGCAGAGAATGCCGTTGCCAAGGTGCACAATGGGGGCAGCAGCGATGGAACTGAGCACAGAGGCTCCACAAATTAAAAACAGGCTTGGGGAAGCAGTTCAGCGCTTACCGCACTTGCGTAGCACATACGGAGCTCTGGGTTCTATCCTCACCGTTAAAATATAAATAAATACAAGCACCATTTGATCCTGCAGTCTCACTCTTGTGTGTTCATCCAACACACTAAATCAGGATCTCAAAGAGATCTGTTCCTTGCAGTACTATTCCCAAAAGATGAGATTTTCAAAGACAAATGTATCAATAAGATGGAGCATTTACATACAACAGAAAAGAATATCATTCAGCTTTTATGGATGGGAATTCTGCAGTATGTGACAACATGGCGAGAACTTGAAGACACGATGTTTTATCACTTAGCCACAGCCCAGAGCCAATTTCTGACTCCCTTCGGGATCCTCTACCCTGTTTTCCACAGTGTCAAACTCATTCTGAGTTCCTAGTAACATGTCCAGAGTTCCGGTTTCTCCATATCTTACCAACACTGTCATTTTTTTTTCTTTTATAATAGCCATCCTATGATTTATCTAAACTAATCAAATTGATAAATCAAATAGTGGAATGGTGGTTGCCTAAGTTCGGAGGAGAGGAGAATGGGCGCCAACCGGCACAAGACTTCAGTGAGGTAAGAAATGGTGATGTTCCGGAAGTCTGCTATAGGGTACCACACCCACTGTCAACGCTTCTAGATTGCGCACTGACATTTGTTAGAAGGGTAGCTCTTACATGAAACGTTCTTACCACAGTGAAATAATCAGTTAAAAATTCTGCAATGACTTTTTTTAGTGATGAAATTTTAGTAAGCTAGCCACTAGAATCCAACAGAAAGTAAACATCGATTATTCCTTCTCAACTTTGGTGGTGATAGTGTTTTCAAAAAAATGTGTGCACGTGCCTGCTTGGGAATTTGAGCTGAGCCACAGTTTCAGACTCTGTTATTTCCATCAGTCATGACTTCTTTGGCTGAAGATACTTATGAAAGGCCAGTGCGCAGACCACCGTTAACCCAGGGGAGAGGCTACGAAGGAGCTATGTGAGCAACACGGGTCTGCGGGCCTCCTGGGAGGGGTCGTACCTTATCTGATTTTCATCATTGTCCACCAGGAAGAACCATCGGAATTTCACAACCAGGGGGCTGCAGTTGGTGATCATGATGTAGCGGATGACCTCGGTGTCATTCAGGATGCAGCCGAAATTCACCTCCATCATCTCGAAGCTGAGGTTGGGGTAATGCACCTCTCCTCGCAGCTTCAGGCTGTCCTCCTGAGGGTGTTCCACATACTTGACTGACAGAGCTTCCTCCGCCACCCAGTTGTTTAGGTCATTCTTGTAGGAGGGGTCAAACTTGACCAGTAGGTTTTTCTCTTCATGAACCTCCAGTTTAATAGGCTATAAACAAGATAACACGAAGTTACCAACTCCTGTATGTTGAAAGTCCAATGTGATACATGACACAGGATAGTCAAAATTATGGACATCCACAACTTTACACACATACACACACACACACACACACACACACACACACACACACACACATACACACACGCTCATACACATTTCTTTAAACACATGCTTATGAATAATTAGCAACTATTGGTGTTAGGTTTAATTTTTTTTCACCCCTCAAACTCATGTTGAAATTTGATTGTCATTGGAGATGGAGTTCAGGAGCGAGTGAGCTCCTCTCTGATGAGGCCAGGTTAGTTGCCACAATGGTGGGTTGTTACGAAACAAGGCTGCCCCTCGTGTTATTCTTCCACACATATCCACTTGTCTTTCTGCTTTCTGTCATCGCTTGACACAGTATGGGGGAGTGGCGAGGGGGGCTCTCACTGACACCATGCTCTAGACTGCGAACCATGAACTCAGAACTGTGAACCCAAACAAACCTCATTTCCTTGTGAAGTATTCAGACCAGATATACTGTTGGCCCATCGGCACACAGACCAAAAGTAGCTATGAATGTATGTATGTGCAAGGGTGATTGGATGTGCATGTGTGGATGCGGGTGCATGTGGATGTGGATGCCTGTGCCTGTTCGAGGCACAGAGACAGAGACACAGGGAAAGGAAGGGGAGGGGGAAGGGGAGGGGGAAGCAGAAGTGCTTCCGTCTGTCTAATCACATCTCAGAGTCACGCAGGGTACCTTCCATCTTAGCTCTGGTACAGTTGGGAGAGAGACGTCTCCACATGCCTGTCTTTGAGGACTGACCTAGAGTTGTTGTTTAAGCAGCAAGGTTTTGTAGCAGTTAGACACATCTACAGATCTAAACGTTGTATGTAAAAGCAGAAGAATTAAATTAGGGATCCTGCACTATGTTATTGCTCAGAGTTCATATTTTTGGTAAATGTTAGCTATAGGCATAATGGGTAAAGTGTTGGGTTTTTATAAAAACAGGATTTCATTATATTATTTTATTGAAAATATTGTGTACTTTAAAAAACCGAAGACAGGGGCCTGGAGAGATGGCTGTGGCTAAGAGCCCCAATGTATATGTGGGAATATATGGACATATACAAATACACACGCATATGCATTCGATGACAACTGACGAGAAAAGAGGCCATGAATTTGAAGGAGAGACGGGTGAAGGGCACGTGGGTGGGTTTGGAGGGGGGAAAGGGAAGGGAGCGACGTAATTAAAATACACTCTGAGAAATGAACCAACAGGGGAAAGGGGCGAACAGTACAGCTTTGACTCGCTCTTTCTCTCTGGTGCCTGGGACTCAACTCCTGCATCACTAGGCCAGATGTCCTCCACGGAGCACCAAGCTTCTCAGTCTTACCGCCTGTGCTGAATCCTAAGAAGCTGTGGTTTAAAATGATACGTCTGTTCCTCGGACTGAGCATTCTGGGTCAGCAGTGGTTTTTTCCAGTCCCTGGGTGCCTCATTTGATTATTTGGGCGAATCTCTTCCACTGTCAAGTCTTTTCAACAAGGGGATGTGAATGCCTATTCACTCCTTGCATCCAGAGAGTACCTTTCTGTGACCTTTTTTCTCAAAGGATATCATGGTTGCCTATAAAATCCTTGCACCACAATTTCTTGCTGTTAAAACTCTAGTCATTTCCTTGGCAACATTAAGCTGCTGTGGAGGAGTTTGAGGTCAGTATAACAACAACCTTCTTTTAACAGTTCTTTTCTGCCTAGACGTTATAGGTTACTGATGACTCCTGTGATGTCACTAGGATATTCCTCATTGCTGAATAACCTCTATAACTTAGTCTCAGGACAAGTAGTGACCTTCTTCTAAAAGAACTTCGAGAATGACTTCATTTACATTACAGCAGGTAGAATAATGATGCTCAGTGGATCCCTTGACTTATCTTCACACCTCTGCCCTGGTTTCCCTGACATGAGGTAACCAGTGTTATAAGTGACCTTACCTTTAAAATTTTTTTAATAGTTCATTTTATTTTAATTTTTATTAATTACCATTTATTCACTTTGTATCCCACCTGTAGCTCCCTCCCTCTTCTCCTCCCAATCCCACCCTCCCTTCTTCCTCTCCTCCTATGCCCCTCCCCCAGTCCAGTGATAGGGGAGGTCCTCCTCCCCTTCCTTCTGACCTTAGCCTATCAGGTCTCATCAGGAGTGGCTGCATTGTCTTCCTCTGTGGCCTGGTAAGGCTGCTCTCCTTTCAGGGGGAGGTGATCAAAGAGCAGGCCTATCAGTTCATGTCATAGTAATGTCCCCATTACTATGGAACCCACTAAATCACACTCACGCATGTTTGCTTTTTACGTGTGATGGCACAATATCCCTACTTTTCTGCATTTCATTTTTTTTTTCCATATGATGTCATCCAACATCTGCCTTTGGAAAGCATTTCATTTCTAATTATGTATCTATGTGTCTCTGTGTGGTAGGTATGTGCACATGAGAGAAGTTACCTGTTGGGGCCAGAGGAGGTGTCATATCTCCCAGAGCTGGGGTTCCAGGCAGTTGTAGGCCACCTGGTGTGGGAGCTGGAAACAGCCCCAGGCGCCCTTGACTGCTGACCTAGCTCTCCAGCCCCCCCACCTCCTTTTTTTCCTCCAAGTTTCACTGTTTCATAATTCTGCTGCCCTTTACCCGGTCAGCCTCTCAAGGTTATTGGCTCCTAAACTTTTGCCCTCATAAGAAGCAGTTCGATGAATACCTTTGCCCCTTGTGAATGTACCATCTTGGATCTTGGGTTTGTAGAATACATCCCTAAGCATGGGATTACTAGGTCAAAGGGCATTGCCGTTTAGAGCTTGATAGCTATTGGCAGGTTGCCTTCCGCTGCGTGCATCCAAGAACACGGGGGAGTGAGTTTCCACACACCCTGCCCAAGCTAAGTACTCTTAGCTCCTTGCTAACCTGGCACGTTTAGTCCATGGTGCTACACATCTCTATTTGCTCCAGTCTGAGCAAAGCAGAACCTGTTTTCCTGTGTTTTAAGAGTCATTTTCTTTCTGTGAATGCTGCTCTCTTCTTCTGACTTTCTATTAGGCGACAGTTCCTTTCTTGTTTACTCATGGAAGTTTTCTATTTTTAATACATTTAAATTTTAATTAAGGGTATATAAAAATAGTAGAAAAACTGAAAATGTGCTAGGAACAGGGGCTCCTCACCCACCTGCCCTCTCCACCACTGGCAGGATATTATTTTTTAAATCTTTTAAAATTTTGATTTATTCATTTGTGTGTGTGTGTGTGTGTGCATTTGCTGAGTTTTTGAGTACCACATGTGTGTGGAAACCCATGAAGGCTAGAAGATTGCATCAGATCTCCTGGAACAGAACTCAAGTCCCCTGCAAGAGCAGCTAGTGATCTCAAGCATGGAATTATTCCTCCAGTCCTCCATTTCCTCATTATTGTCATGGAGCTGGTCCACTGTACAGGATTTTTGGGGTCAAGAAGGGATGAGCAGGCTATGGTCACAGTTGGGCACTGGAGTGAGGAAAAGGGTGAGGGGCTTACTCTGGGACAACACACTGATGCCACCTGAATCATGAGACTGTCCCCAAGTATTCTGACTCACATTTGTGGAGGGGAGCACTATTTTTGTTTGTTTGTTTGTTTTTCCCATATTTTCTGGATGGTGTCTGGTGTGTGTGTGTGTGTGTGTGTGTGTGTGTATATATATATATATATATATATATATATATATATATATATAGAGAGAGAGAGAGAGAGAGAGAGAGAGAGAGAGATACACACACACACATGCACCATCTGGCATACCATCTCCCCACTCTGACCCCACCCAATTCAAAGATCCATCTTGCTGAGTGTGGCACATAGCAAATCTTGCTGAGTGACAGGCTCCCTCATCTGAGACCTGGTGATTGTTTCCTGCCCTCCTTTCCACCTCCACTGGCAGCCTCTCTAGGAGGGAAGGCTGAGCTCTTGAAATGGTCTGTGGGGTTGATGTCTTCTTCAACCCCACTCTTCCATAGCTCTGCAGTGGCACCTGCCCATGGCCATCTGTTCTACTGTGATGCTCAAGCCCAGCAAGGAACCATAGGGACAGTCTCACGGGGCTGTTCAGAGAATGCTGCTTCCTGCCTCAGATTGGCAGCAGGGCTGGGCTCACACCTTGCATCAAGTTTCTTTGTATTTGGAGATGGGCTCATTCACTGAGAGACTGGACTTGACCACATCCTCCTGTAAGGGACTTTGGTTGGAGTTCCCTAGTAGGAGGTCATTGCCTTGTCTTGATTGACTTCATTATGATGGGCAGGAGTGAATGGGTCATCCTCCTGGGCTGGAAGGTCTTACACCATGCATGGATCTTCCCACTGACTGATACTTGAAATAATTTATTGCTTATTTGCAATTTTCTGGATTTTTTTTTCCTATTGGTTCCTGGGTCATTTTGTATTCTTTTCCAGACTGAAATTAGGCAGTATTTTTTTTTTTAATTCTCCCCTTTTACGTGCACAAAGGCTCCCTACCAGGTTACCTTAGGAGTTGCAGGCAGTGGGGATTTGTCAGTCTCACAGATGAAGAAGGGGACGGTTGTGGAGAGCAGTATGTTCACAGGCAGGGTTGAGATGTTCTTTATGGCCAAAGGCCGGTAATCAGCCTCCAGGATACTGTTAGGCTTCTGGACAAGAGCAGAGGGAAGAGAAGAAACAAAAGCAAGTCACAGTAACAGTTCTGTTAGTTCTGGACAAAAACCTCATCCCCCTTCCTTCACAGAGACATTCATTTCCCTAGGTACAGATTTATGGAAGTGAAGTGGAATGAGCTGTTAGGATTCTGAAACATGAACTTATATAACCCAGAAAACAGAGGGTAGGTTTCCAAGAGGCTCTTATTGTTTAATTTAAAGCAAGGCAAAGCAAAACAAAACAACCCCCACCCGAAACCATGCAGAAACCCAGCTATTAGACCAAACTCACTGCGCATACTGCCACACTGCTGTGAAACAAAGTAACAAATTTGTGATGACTTGTGTAGGAATTGAGGAACTCTTATAACAGATCAAATAGTTTGCTTTTATGGGATTCTCCCCTTACGCTTAAAGCATCCATTTTGCAGATATGGTTATCTTGTTATACTGGCGAATGCCCACACATCTTCCCTGTGAATTTTCCTCAATAGTGCAAAAGGTGACGAAGCTAGACAGCTCTGTGAGACCTGCTAGATTGCATTGCTCAGCCAGAGAAAGGGCAGGACTGGATCTTGAGTGAGATGCTTTTGCTCAGGCTTGGTTTTTCTCACTCTAATATTGGGGCTTGTATTAATCTTTGTGTGATCTGAAAAGGGTATCCTCTAGCCTGAGCAGGAGGTGACCAGAAGCCTCAGCCTGAAGCCTCTAAGATAAGAACCCTGATCATTTTGGGGTTCTTCAAACTAAAAAAAAAAAAGTAGTCCTTTAAAAAAAAACTCTCCACAATTTGACTTGCATTTTCTCCTAGTTCTAATTTGCTCACTTCCCCTGACCCCACTTTCCTATCTTGGTCTGACCGAGTCTTCAAGCTGTTCCAACACTATCTTCCTCCCACTTCGGTTCTTGGGTTTCCCGGAGCCTGGGTAAGCTTGGATGCCTTAGTATCTTTGAGCTGAAGCTTCTGCCTTGCTGGTTCTCCACCAGTTCCTGTGTACTGCCAAGGTTATGTCAGGAGTCTGGTCTGGCTGGGATTTGTCACATAATGCAATGCTAGCCTTTGGTTCTCTCCCTCGAAGAACGAACACAGACACTGACTCCCTTCAGGTATCAGTTTATGGAGGGGGAAGCAGCGGCCTCAGTTCCACTAACTAGCAGGCTGCACAGAAAACTGTCCATAGAGTGACCTTCCCTGGAGGCTGCTGTGTCACTGCAGATGGCCCTGAAGTGAAGAAGCCACACTTGGTTGGTTTTGGCAAGAGGCCATTTGGAGGTTGGTGATGAGAAAAAACCCCAAGTCCAGAGAAGTCAATCTATTTTAAAATGACCCCTTCTCTGGGCTGTTTGTTTCCCCAAATATCAGCAGACAGAATCTGCTGCTGGAACTTCAGGAAGCAAGCAGACCCAAAGTTTCAGCTGACCTTTTCAATTCCACAGAGATGCTCGTTCATCTCCATAGTGTATGAGTGATACCAGTGGCATAGGGTTGATGGAGTGTGAAGAAAGAGAGAAACCCTTTCTTTCCATAGACAGGCTTCATATCTTTATATTCTAATGTAGCACCTCAGATGCACAGCCCTGGGCCAACAGCAAGGAGTCAGAACAGTTGTATGCTGGATAATTCAATCCAAATCCCAAGCCCTCACAGGTTTCTTGTGAGTGTTATATTTCTTCATTATCCCTGATAAATTCTAATGATGGGCAGGAGATGAGCAATGGAAGGAGGAAATTCAAGCTTTTGACATTTGGGGAGAAAGAAAAATAAAGGGCAGAAACAAATAGCATGGAAATCAGAAGACAGCCTACAGGAGTTGGTTCTGTGCTTCTACCATGTGGGTCCTGGGGGGATGGAATGCAGATCTTCAGGCCTGGTGGCAAGTGCCTTTACCTGCAGAACCATTTCATTGGTCCTCAACCCAGTTTTTAATCCAATGAGAAGTTATTACTGAATTCAGAATTTCGCATTTAATGCAATTTAATTGCAATTTAATGATAAACTCCAACAGCAGACATTGAGGCGAGAATATGTTGTCCTGCTTCTGCCAAAAGGCAGGAGGCTATAAAGAGCCAGAGGGTCTGCATATGCTATGAGTATCTGCAGGCACGGAAAAACTGAATAAGAAACTATGCTGCATATTTAACATATAAGGTCTTGCACAGAACAGCTTTCAAGAAATCTTCGCTAAATTCCTTTTGAATAGCTATTTTCGGGGAAAGTAAGAAGCCAACAATTTCAGGGCTGCTGTTTGCCGATAAATATCTTTTCTGATTGCTTACAATGAAAGGACTGAAAGCAGCAGCGAAATCTCCCAGGAACGCACACAGTATGGCTGTGTTCAGTGTGTCGTGTCTAGCTCTGCTGTCACTCAAATCCTCACTCAACTTTCTCAATACCCACACGGCCTGCAAGCTGGCAAGGCCAGAATCTTTTCTCCTCTGTATACATTGTAGGTGACCAGTACATGGCAGGCATTCCAAAATTTGGTTTGAATTGAACTTATATGTTTCCTTGCCCCCCGACTCCAGACTTTGTAAAGTTGCTTTATTCAAACCCTAACATAGCACCTTGTCCATCTCAGCTCAGCATATCTATGGAACCCAGGATGATGGAATCTACTACCACGATAAATGGCATTAAGTGTTATCCTGCAAACTTTATGGTGATGAAAAGACCCCCAGTTGACCCACCTGTGACTGGTAAGGCATGGCCACACACACAGTTTCCTATGGGAACAACAGATCATGGGAGGATGGCTTAGTTAAGCTTGTTCTTCCCAGTAGGCAGAGAGTTTCACCAGGGAAGAGCTGTCTCACTAGCTTCAGACAGTGGCAGGTGAGGAGTCTGAATAAATGTTCTGCTCAGTGGCCAACATTCTAATGATTTATTCTAATGAATAAATCTGACCACATTCATCTCCCCTTTAAACAGCTTCCCAGAGTGAACCCCAAAGTCTAGAACATGTCTAGCAGACATGCCATACATATCTGGCCACGGCTCCATCTCCAAGAGACCTCTCCCAGCCTTGGTATGATCACTGTCTAGGATGACTTTGGACATTCTTGGCATGTTCTCTGTCTGGGGTCACCTTTCAGTTTTAATACCCCCCTAAGCCTTTTCCCAACAGAAGTCCGCAGCCAGGAGTTCTCCCCTTCCCTTGCCATCAGACTAACTTGTACCTTTTTGTCAATCTCAACTTGGCTTGCTCAAGGAAGCGGCCTTGGAATGAGCACATGCACAAGTAAGGCCACGTCTCCTGAGCTGCCCATGACCCTAGTTATCACTGAGATTGAAACAAGGACATTCCCTGACTTGCGTACAGCCTGTAACCTCAACCAGTCTCTTCACTTTGACTGTGTCTGTCTGGCTTACCAGATTTTCAACATCAGTGCCGCCTCCAGCTTAGGACAGATAATCTACTCATCTCTGTTCTGAATGATAAGTCGTTCTAGGATGGAAAGCCAGCCAGGGGCAGGCCTCACTCTACTCTGCTGTCGCTCTCACTTCTTCACCATAGCCACCCCTACTCTGAGCAGTAGCCACTCCCATCTCTTCTCTGGACCCAGGTTCACCAATTTATTACATGCCCTTAATAGCCATGCAAAAATACAGACATGTAGGGCCATATAAACGAAAGAGCATCAATTAAATAGTTTTAGTTGATTACTTATTCAATAGCAATCCTGGGGTCTGTGTATGTATCACAAGAAGGGTAATGGAGCCTGCCATGGTGGGATTTTGTGAAAGACACCTGGAGAGATGTAGGTAATTTGGCACGGATGCTTAGCAATAGTAGTCAGCAGATAGTAGCCATTCTTACTAATTATTATAATTGTTGCTGATTCTATTCCAACCCTTTCTCTGCAGTGATGTTTACTCTACCTAAAGCAAAATGATGGAGTATTTGTGCCCTTTCATGCATATTCTGCACGGAAATACACATTCCCTTTGGTCTCATGCATTAAGAACGATGGAAACAGGACTTCCACTTCAGAGAACTATAGGTTTACATTTAGGATTTTTAGTTTAAATGTGCACTGGCCTCTGAAGCTTGGAAAGAAAAACAAGACTGTCTTGGTGACGGTGTTAGCAAGATTCCAATTAATTAAGCTTCTGAAATGGAAGCATGACCATGTTGGCTCTGGCTAGACTGTCCAGCCCCATCCCCTCCCCCAGCACAGCCCGCACAGACCTTTTCCAGTCGATATACAAGCTGCTTGGTGGAGAGCTGGATAAATGGTGCTATAAACTCGCAGATAATGTTCACAGACATCAGCAAGCTTTTTCCCTTCCGGGCTCCGACAATGGCGTGGCACACCAGTGTTTCTTTGACACTCTGCGCACGACACATACCAGCAGTTGTGAAACAGTCATACTTCAGACAACTTGTTGATATAACAATATAATACGTCTTTGGATTCTAGATGCCCAGAGCTTTATAAAGCAGAAGGGACCCAAGAGGAAATATATGCCATAAATAGATTGTGCTGATGAGTTTGAACTGAGCATTCTCATGGTTTGCAAGCCCATTTAGGCGAGCTCCCACTGAAGCAGGTGGATTTAGTTCCCCTGGGGGCCACATTTAATGCCTCTTAGAAACATGCTTTAACTCTTGGCGGCCACATTAGAAATATACTCCGACTACAGACCGTGTCTTAAGATTAAGGCATGTGTTATATTCATCCTTGCATCCTTGGTGCCCAGAAGTATTTCTCACGGTACCCTCTATACCCTTTATGCAGCGAGGATGGATTCCACCTTATAATACTTTGTGAAGAAAGAATGGAATCTGCGACCCTTGCGAGGTAGCCAATGGACCAGAGTTCTCACTTTCTCTATGGGAGACAATTTATTATTGTTTCTTATTTTATAAAGAGAAAATTCAGTGTTACTGCCTAAGTCTCCTAAGCAGGGGCTTAAGTAAATATCTTATCTCATTCAGAGAGTCTGTGTTCCTGGGATGAGAAAGACTCCTGGGTGGCTTCAAAAATCTTTTTTTTTTTTTTTTTTAAAAAAGGTATTTGGTGATTTCCACCACATTTCCTTAAGGGTCTGTAGTGAATCAATTCACAGCGCCGAGGTACTTAAGGGTTCCAAGACTAATGTGCGGCACCAATGTAAACAAAACTAGAATGTCTGTTGCTGGGGACTGACACGGCTATTTATTTCATCTACACAAAACTGTATGGTATGAATACTTTGCCTGCCTGTGTATATGTGTATGACACATATGTGTGCCTGGAATCTGAAGAGGCCAGAAGAGGGCGTCATAGTTTCTGGAACTAGAATTAAATAGGTGGTTGTGAGCTTCCATATGTTTGTGGGATCTGCACACAGGCCCTCCACAAGAGCAGCCAACGTTTTTAACTGCTGAGCCATCCCTTCAGTAACTTCAAAGATGATGTTTTAAATGGGGTCTTATTTAGTCAGGCAAGGTTGCAAATATATATATCAGGGTTGGGGCTATACCTGCACAGTGGAGGCAGTTCAGAGCGTTTATAAAAGCATGCTATTTTCAGAAAAAAAAAAATGAAATAAGATTGCTTAGTGTTAATAAGAAAATTTGCTTGGAGTGAAAACTGGACATTTTTCTGCCAGGGACTTGCAGGCTGGTCAGTGTTGACAGTGGTAATGAGGACCTGCTTTAAATGGTCCTTTAAGGTTGGGGTTATGGTATCTATAGAAACAAACAGAAAACTGAGCAGAGCCGAACCTTGAAAGCAATGAATGCTGCCATGGCAACTCAGTGCGGTGTGTGTTTTTTGAGAAATCACATCCTTTCTCAGATAAATGTCAAAGGACCTTCCTAAGAAACACACACAGTGCAGCAGAGATTTATTTGGAAGGAAAACAGCTTTTGAACATGTTCCGCTCTTACCCTGGGAGTGGCAGAATAGCCTTCAAGTAGCACATTAATCGTCTGTCCCGGGTACAACTCCATCCTGACAGGGTAAAGTTGAAACACGGGGTTCTCTGTGTCTGTCTGTGCCCGGGGAGCCTGGGACTGGCGACGGCAACCAGCAAGTGCCTTCTTCTTTGCCTCCTTCTTACTTTGCTTATCCTTGGGGCGGAAATCATCATTCATCCAGAACAGCTGCTGGACCCTCCGTCCTTTGTTAGTCAGCTTGAAGCGGTAACAGTGTGTATTCATGCTGGAAAAGGAGGACAGGTGTTGAGCGGCTCAGAGGAGGACTTTTGGGTTCAACTCTGCAGCCTTTAGATTAATTCCACTGGAAGTACTACTGAATAAGCACCCAGAGGAGATACTCCTTTAGACAGCCATTCAGGGAGTCTAGGTCTCAATGCTACTGAGTGTGATCGAAGGGCTCCCAGAGTTGAGCCACAAACCTGAATCTTGTCCCAGAATCACTACCCCTTGGTAAGGGCCATAAGAAAGTGGCTCACGTATCCACTGTCTTCCCCGGCAGGTCAAGCACACTATAGGATACATGAGGAATGGTTCCGAGGTTAGGAAAGGAAAGCGCACTACTAGCCGGAGAGATTTCCTTTGAAAAATGTCAACTACATTTCTCCTGATTGAGACATGTCTGGTGATGGTGGATTTACTTTGAAGTTCTATGTGAACAGCACATGCCTGTTAACCCTTGACAGGACAGAGGGGCTGGACTTAAGTAGACCAGAACACCAATTAGATTAGACACTTTTCTCTGACTGTTTTCTCATTTCGTCATGCTTTCAAGTTATAATTATTTCATTTATTAATTCATCCCTTTACTTAACTCTTTTTGAAGAAGCTGGGATTTCTAAGGTATGTTGAAACAAGTTAAAATTCTGTGTGTATAATTTATAGGCTGAATCAAATTATTTTCTTTGAGGAAAAGCTTGTCTCAGGACAGGCAAGGTAGTGCATGTCTGAATACTAGCGCCTGGGAGGGCAAGGCAGGAGAATCACCATAAGTTCAAGGTTAGCTTGAGCTATAAAGGAAATTTTAGGCCAACAGGGGTTACATAATGAGACCCTCTCTGAAAACAGCAGCAGCAGCAACAAAACGAACATCCCCACCTCAGACTGTTATTTTTCTTTTAAAATTTTATTAGGCTTTGAGATTTTTTCCCATTTGCTTGACCTCAGGAAATGGCATCATATCTCACAAGTAAGTTGTAACATTCAATAATCAAGAAAAGTAATGTTCAGTTTTCACGTAAAAACTTTTGTCTCTAAACATTTGTGTTCACAGGGCATACTCAACAAAATAATCTTTACCCAGGATTTAACTTTACGGCCAATGGTAAATTTTAGGGAAAAAAGCTAACACATAGAACACTAATAAACTATATAGGGCTCTTGCTACTTATTTACAGTATTATTTTAATAACCACAGAAACCCATCCATCAGAGCCATAACAACCCCCATTTAGGAAGGGAGAAAACGCTCCAACTCTCTAAGAAATTTGCTCCAAAATATTTGATCAGAATGGGTGGCATATAGGCATTTCTTTAGTACAGGGTTTGGCCAGCCTCCTCTATAAAAGGCTGAGGGCTATCACGTTAGCCTTTGGGGTCATATGATAATAGGCATAACTACCCGACTCTGTACACTCTTCTTAGTGTGAAAGTAGCCGTGATTAGTGTGATTAAGCCTATAAATTATATACATACAATCTTAACTTGTTTCAATATACCTTAGAAATTCCAGCTCCTTCATAAAGAGTTAAGGAAATAAGGAGGTCTTTAATAAGTACTTATGAAATAGAGAAGGGATGAATTAATGAATGAAATAATTATAACTTGAAAGCATGAGACATGCTGGCTACACGCTAATAGAAACGGGCAGTGGGCTATGGTGTACCTGCCAAGGCTCTTGCTGCTTCTTATGGTTATTGTTGGCATCATTATTATACGGTCAAAAAGGAGAACGACAGTTTACACAGAAGGGAAATTAATAGCCAATAACTACAGTTTGTTTATATATTCATGAAAACTGTTAGCTAGCCCTCAAATTTCCTTTGGGGGGGGTATTTGACACTATTTGTAGATTCAGAATAAACCCAAGCAATTAGACACGGTGCAAAGAATATTGCTTTCTATAGTTAGATTTGTGTGGACTTAAGAAATTTAAGTAGAAGCATTAGTATATAATGACAAACGCCTTTCCTTAGGGCCAAGTGATAAAGTAGGGAGGAAGGTTTTGGTATTCACCTGATTAAAAAACATACAACTGGACATTGTAAAGCATGTAATCCACCTCCCCGGGTTGTTACTAATGTTGCTATTGCTTGTGATGTTTTCAATTAAGAGCCATGTTTGGTGGTTAAAGCAGAGGAGAGGAGGGGTGGACGGGACTGTGGGAAGGACTTCTTAGAGCACAGTGCATGTGAGTTGGGTTCAGGACTCATCAGAAGGCCAGAGCAGCAGGTTCGGGGGTCCTTCTGCTGCTGAGAAGCACAAGCCAGCCAAACCTTGAGAGTAGGCTACTGATAACTGCATCGTGTCCTTTTGGAAGCAGGAATGAATCCTTACACATATCCTCTACCCACTTCACTCAAACCTCCGGTGTTCCATATACATTCTGGATCACACTGCTCAAAGGGGTCTCTGAGCCCCTCCCTCTTCTTGAAATATTCGGATCCTCTAGCTTTTCCTGAGTGGCCGGGGGAAAACCAATTGCAGCCAGCTCAATCATTGGTGCTATGACGGGGAGGAAAGTAGAAGAAATTTGATCCATAAATTACTGGCCTTGCAATGCCTGCTGTATTTGTAATGACTCATTTTCTAGTAGACTCTACTTAGGTTACTCTAAGCTGTGTCCGAATTTTATACATTTGTGGAGAGGGATAGGAAGCGTATTGAAGTCAGAGAGGGGAAATTATGGAGACATTCTGAATACATCATTAAGTATCACTGCCCTTTTCTCCACAGTAGAGGGATCTGGCCTGGAGAATGTAACCAGGTTTCCTATCAGCTGTCAGTTTTACACAGCCTAGGATCCTTTGAAAAACAAAGAAAAAAACCCCAAAACAAACAAACAAACAAACAAACAAACAAACAAACAAACAAACAAAAAAGCGGAGTCTCAAGCAATAGCCTTTATCAGGTTGGTCTGTGGGCCTGTCTCTACGGGATAGTCTTGGTTGGTAATGGAAGACAGAGGGTCCAGCCCACGGTGGGTGTTACTGTTCCCTGGGCAAGGTGTCCTGAGGTGTTTAAGGGAACCAGCTGGGCAAGAGTGTGAGAGTGAGCCAGCAAGCAACAAAGCAACATTCCTCCGTGGGTTCCTGTGTTGAGTTCTGACGTCTCTAAAATGATATGCTGTGTCAGGGATGTGCCACAGGAAATAAGCCCTTCCCTAATTTGTTTTATCACAGCAATTAAAAGGAAACTAGAGAACATGGTGATAGTGTGGAAATATGTTCTCATAGCAAATATAACCAAGCTGTGACTAAAAACCAACTTCCTGTATCCAGGGTACTCATCAAGAAAAAGGGAGAAGTGGGATAGGAGAGGAATGGAGGGAGCTGTTTCTATTTAATTAAGACTTATGGCATCTATATAATTGCTCCATGATATTCCCTTACCTAAAATGTGCTCCCAAGTTGAGTTCTGGAGCAAAGGGCTTGTCTGAAACAATGGTAGAGCCAATCCCGGTGGCCTGGACGGGGATCCTGTAGGTGCTGCTGTGCTCAACCTCCAGAACGACTGTGTCTTTGAATGTCACTATGTCGTCCAGGTTGGCAGTGAGGGTCAGTGGAGTGTCATCTTCTGCAGGAATTATGCCCTCGCTGGGTTTAACTGTCCAAAGGGATTTTTTGTTTGCCTGCAATACAAGACTACACGTTAACTGGGTAGATGTTCTTGGCTCGTCCGTCACCTTGCTTGTGTCAGAGCCCTCTGCTTCAAATGGCCCATACCACAGAATTCAACTTCAGAGGCAGACACCATCATTTTATTTTATTTTATTTTTAGAATCAGAGAGGCTGGGTGTTTCTTAACTTCCCTTTTCAAAAAGCAGCCCAAGTCTGAAGAGCAAGGCCACTCTTCAGCTTTGGAATGCTCTGTGAAGATCTGCGGCTTCTCTTCCCCGTGACGCCAGGTCTCTGACAAGCTCCCACTAATTATCTGCTCTAACCTCGTAATTCTGAGACACCAACAGAAGGGCCAGCATTCCCTTCTGGAATTTTCAAAGAAATATTTCTCAGAGGGGAAGTTTGTAGAATTAGAGTGAAGATGAGCAGCTTTGTAATTAAACACATAATAGCAAATCATCCTGTTTGTGTTTGTGTGTATGTGTTTTCTATGCTTTTGTAGTAATTAAAAGAATTTCATTAGCTAAAACTCTAAGCTTGTTTTGAAATCCATTGACTCAGAGTTGGAAGGGACTCCTACCAGTTTATTAAGTGCTTAGATATTCACAGCACACCGCTTTTTCTTCCCCAAAGTCTTTGTCAAAGCCAGTGCCTAACAAGCCGACTCTGACCATCGCAGTGGAAATGGCTAACCCATACGAACATTCCTGTTCACTTTCACCTGGCTCCAGATTTTTCTCCTTAGCGCTTACTGTCTTCTGACATAGTACATAATTTCCTTATCATATTTATTGTCTTTCCTCCTGCAGCGGAATATAAGCTCTACATTGTCTTTTGTTTGGCCTTAAACAAACAAACAAACAAACAAACAAACATATCCCAAGTATCTATAGCAGGACATGCTACATAGCTTTGCTGAATGTACAGTACAGCGTGTCCAGCAGACACTTAATAAACATTTGACAGATGAAGGCGGGTATGGCGGCACATACCTATAATCTCAGCACTCGGGAGTTGGAGGCAGGTGGAGCCCGAGTTCAAGGCCAGCTTAAACTGAATAGCGATACCCTGTCTCAAAAGTAAAACAAAAATTGATGAATGCATGTGTCAGTCTTCTCTGATATCAGCGTATTCATTTCTCACAGCTCAAATTATTAGCTATTTCTTCCTTATATTATGTAGAGATATACCTCATTTTGACCCTCTAGACACGGGTTTGGTCCCTTCCTCGGAGTTATGTAGGGTGAGTTAAATGCGCCGCTTGTACGTAATAGTCCTTCAAATTCTGCATCCCAGCTTTAGAGGACAACTTTAGATGCCTAAGGGAGGTTCAGAAGTCAGTGATAAAAACCATGACTTACGCTGTAAATATTAATTAAAATACGATTTCTGCTTCTTTGATGGTGATCTATTTTTTACTTTTAGACTTTGTTCTTGTCTTTGAAAGTCTATAGTGCCTTCTGCTAGGAATTTTATCTCTTTCCAGAGTCCTTTGTTTGATTTTCTCAGTTTTGAACAGTTATCAGTAATTGTCAGTTGAAATGTTATTTCTGCCTCATTTCTCATCTCCTACCATTTTAGAACTTCCTAATTGCCTCTCAGTTATGGTTTGGCCTGGAGTGTCCCCAGGGGCTCATGAAGACCCATCACCCAGTTGGTGGTGCTCTTGGGAAACAGCAAAAACCTTAGGAGGTGGGGCCATGTTAGAGGAAGTGAGGTCACGAGGGCGTGCCTTGCCGATGACACTGGGACCTAGGCATCCCTTTATTTGCACACCACCTCCTGACTGCCATAAAGCAAGAGGGTTTGTTCCACCATGAGTTCTCAGCCACAGGGACAAAGGGTCCAAGTGGTCATGAACTGAAGATCTCTGGAGCCATGGGCCACAGGTAAGCCTTTCTCTGCGGCAGTTGTTCATCTTAGCCATTTTGTCACAGAGAGGCGTAACAAACGGGCATGCATCTTTTGGACTCTTAATTACATTTACCTACTTTTACTCTCTGATATGTTTCGGATGGTTTCTCCTTAGTTTTCTTCCAGTTCACTAATTCTCTCTTTAGCTGAGTATAATATGCTGTTAAACAAACCTGTCACATTCTTTGTTTTGAATTTTAAAATTAGGTGTTAATAGTTGGTACTTATGTTTGCAGGGTTTTCAGTCTTTGGGAGAACTGCTGAAGTTATGATTCTGATATTCAACTGATCGCTGTTCCTCCTGGTCACCTGCAAATCTGGTGAGCACAATGATTTTAAGACTTTTTACCAAGTACCCTCAACAGACCTGATGTTCAGTTATTGTGGAAAAAAATGCCCAAATCACATTCTCTCCCCCTGAGGAGCTGACGTGACATTCAGGGAAGCCAGGGAAACAACAAGTGCAAGCCAGGAAGAGGCTGGAGAGAGACTGCCTCAGAAAGTCTAAGGGACAGGCTGCTTCTCCAGAGGAGGGCAAGTTAGAATGCCCCGACTGTGACAAATTCAGTTTTCCTCCATATGTGAAATTAGACCTAACTAACAAGTGGTGTGTTCCTAACTACATTACTATTGATTAAAAAGCCTAGCCCCCTCTCTCTAATTGTACGTATAGGCAATTATTTCAAAATTAATAAAAAGCATCTTCTCTCTATTTTTGGTAGCTATTTTCTTTCATTTAACTCCGGTTCTATTTCAGAGAAGACATTACTTATATTAAATATTTAGTTATTACCAGTAACACATTGGGAAAAGGCCACAAAAAGAAAAGCTATGGAGACGGGTTAGAAGCTTCCAGAATCATGAGGCAAACTCTCCAGCTCACTAGATAAGAGTGTGATTATTTACTTGAAAACCTTCCCTGGCTTCCAAGACTTCTCCAAGTCATGGGCTCAGGAGAAACCCTCAAAAATCAAGCATTGGGAGGAGAACGATGTATTTCAAAGTAACTGTAAAATTCACCCTCTGAGCTCACTGGCTTTGGAGTCTGTTTAGTCTCAAGTCGTCCTTCTCTGGATGACAGAGATGGTGAAGCGGTTGCCAGCACACGCTGCTCATTCTGAGGACCCAGGTTTGATTCCCAACATCCACACGGAAGCGCACAACCATGTGTAACCCCGTTACCAGGGATCTGATGCCCTTTTCTGGCCTCCACGGGCTCTAGACACGCAGAGTGGTGAACATGCATGCATGTCCCCAAAACACTCACATACAAAAAGTAAAAACAGACAAATCGAAATAAACTTATCCTTCTTCCATTTAATTTCCATGGTGTATTTCTAGCAAAACAAAAAGGAGGAAGGTAAAGACACATGCAACCTGAGGAGACTCCTATGGTGCCCACCAGTCAGAGAGCTTGCGGAGGGTTTAAAATAGGGTTGTGCTAATGGTTGCTATGAATAAGAAGGACAGAGCCTGTCACCAGGCCTGTCCCATGGGGTGACATTCCAAATCCAGTCTAGTTCCGGGGCAGATTGGGAGGCTGGAGCTGGTCGGTGGGATCCACTAGCCGCTCTCTTAAGAACTGACTCACGGGTACTCACACAAGGAGAATCTAATATTTAAGCTCAAATGCTCCTTTTCCTATTTGAAATTGAGGACAAATCCTGTTAGACAGACCAAAAAGCTAGCTACATTTCCTTGTGCTTTGCAAGGCGACGTGGGAAACAAGTAAATTGCATATTAAAATGTAAATGAATGAAATGAATCCCAGAAGAACATTTTCAGATTTACAAATTGTGTGTAATGAGGATGTAGATGAATGATGCTGGGGAACATTTACTCCGGCGTTGGCACTAATAGAAATTATAGGCTTAACTCTAAGTCAAAAGTCTTAGCATTCCTCATGACCTCTGAATGCGGAACATTTAGTGACCCAGAAATAGAGGAAAGCAATCCGACATGAAGGGTTGTTGTAGACACACCAGGATCTGAACCAGGATGGGAGTGTGATTGTTTGTATTTGAAAGACAGTTGTGGGTGAAAATGCTAAGCCTTGCGTGATGCAATCTGTTCCCCCAAATTCCTCTGTGCCTTTATTACTCACTCACTCTCACCTCGTCCTTGTGATGGAAGGGGCTGTAGGTCCCTTCTTCTCAGAGCATTCAGATAAGTTGTTTACAGTTTTACATTTCTTAGACTGAGGAGATGGCTCAGTGGGAAAAGCTCTGCTGTACAAGCCCGAGGACCCGAGTTCAGCTACTCAGGACCCATGTAAAAAGCAAGGTGTGGTCACGTCTGTGTGTGCGTGTGTGCAGCCTCAGTAACCCCAGCTGTGAGGCAGGTGGCAATAGGAGGATTTCTGGGGTTCACTGGCCACCAGCCTAGTCCCAGGTTTAGTGGGAGACTCTGTCCAAAGGGAATAAGGTAGAGAGTGATAAAGCAGGAATGTGATGTCATCTGTACCGTCACGTGATCACCTGGGTGTACACGCCCTCACATACACACGTGGACCTACTCTCCCCACACACATATAAAGAGATATTCCTTACACATCTAATATTCTGGAATGTAAACTATTATCAATAGGAGAAACTACAAGAATGGAATTTCACAGTATTATATTCATCTTTGGGTTCAAAGAAATACTTCCTAACAAAGGTTGTTGTTTTTTTTTTAAAGCCAGTCCTAAAGTGAAAACGGAACAAACTTCTAAGACATTAGTCACAAAGATGACATAAAAATGGGTTCCAAAAGAACTATAAATGCAAATTCAATTTTCTGTAGCCATTAAAAAATGGATCAGGGTGGCTTCATTTCTCTCAGTCTTTGTTACTGTGGGTTGAAGTCTTTGGATGAAATAATTTCAATATGACCTACACCGTTAAAGCAATAGAGGGAAATGGATTTTTTCATCCTTGGCTAAGCAGTCTTTCTCCTTTCTTGGCATTTTTAGACTTGCAGTTTTGAGATTCTAGATAGCTACTTTTAGATAAGCAAATGGTAGCTGATAAAACAGACCCCTGATGCTCAGTGGATTAACACAGTATCAGCTTATTTCCAAGTTGTGACAGAGGTGAGGATTGGCATCTAGTCCACA